CAGATCCCCTCCCATGAGCCTCTGTGCAGCCAATGAATTCTGAATATGCCACTCACCTGGTTTATTAAGTGGTAAGAGAACTCCTAAAACTAAAAATTACTTGGTAGCCTCCTCAGCATACTACCAGGGAAAGTTAGGAGTGTCACTACTGCTGCACTGCTATGTTGGTAAACACATGCACAGCTTTCAAGTCAAGAGAAGTGACAGTCCCCAAGACAAATAAAAGAACTTCATGACAGTTTTGAGGTATTCTCCTTTCCAGTACTCTTGGTTCAGCTTATTATTTCCTCACAACTTGCAGCCTCCAGGTATACAAAAAAGGAAAAAGCAGGCTGCTCTAGAGTTTGCTGGTCATGTGTTTAGTTATGAGTATTGTTGTTTTGGTGTTCTTAAAATATCTGAAAATCTTCTAGTCAAAAAAGCTAACAATACAATATTCCCTCTGAACCAAGACCCAGCCAACTGAAAGACAGTAAGATTTATTTTTTTGAGAATATTATAGAGTTTGACAATAAAACTTATCTCTGGAAGAAAGCTGATATCTACAACCTAGTATAATCCACTAGGAGAAATTAATCTCAAAGTACAGCTACCTAAGAAAAGACACATTCAAAGAGAATTTGAAAGGGTTAATTATGTATGTGCCAGTAGGACAAAGATATTGAGATGTTAGTTGATCATTATACAAAAAACCCAATTCTAAAACGCTAACAATCCTAAATGCTATCTCCCTACCAAAAAATGGTGCTGAAAACTCATAGCTCAAACAATAAAAACCATAAAATTAAGTAAATGACCAAAGAGACAAAAAAATTAAAAGAAGAAAAAGCCCAGTTCAAAGTTTGGTGAAGTATTAGAAGGCCTCAGGCGACTTAATAGTAGACTCACAGATTTCACAGATTATTCTGAGTTGGAAGGGACCCACAAGGATCATTGAGTCCAATTATTAAGTAAATGGTCCTGTGGTGGGTTGACCTTGGCTGGATGCCAAGGAAGGTCTTGGCCCATCAAGTGGAGAACAAAAAGGATGTGATAAATCTGCTTTTAAAAAAACGAGATTAAAAAAAATAAAAACCACAACAAAACCCCAAGTTTTTCTTTCCAAAGAACTTTGTGTGCTTTTTTAAAAGGTATGGTGGGTTGACCTTGGCTGGGAACCAGGTGCCCACCCAGCTGCTCTATCACTCCCCTTCCCAGAAGGAAAGGGGAGAAGAGTAAGATGGAAAACAAATCGTGGGTTGGGATAAGGCAGTTTATTAAAGCAAAAGCAAAGCAAAAGCTTGCATGCACAAAAGCCAAGCAAAAAAATAACAAAGTTTATTCTCTACTTCCCATCAGCAGCGATCTCCGTCCACTTTCCCGAGAAGCAGGGCTTCAGCACACATGATGATTTCTTAGCAGGTAGTCACTGGATACAATGAATGCCCCTCTTCCTGCTCCTTTCCTTAGGTTTTATATCTGAGCTGATGTCATATGGTATGGAATATCCCTTTGGTTAGTTTGGGTCAGCTGGCCTACTTGTGTCTCCTCCCAGAAGGAATGTTACAGTGCTGATGCTGTGCTCAGCAGTAGCCAAAACACTGGTGTGTTGTCAACACCCTTCTAGCTACCAATGCAAAGCACAATGCAAAGCACAGCACTGCCACGGTCCGAAGGGGGAGGGGAATGGGGCCGTGACACAGCATGGATGGGTCCGGAGTCAAGGTAGAGGTGCAAATGGATTCCTTTATTGAGGTGTGCAGGGGGTTTATGAGTTGAGGTGGGGAAAGGGCTAGAACATGGGGTGGAGCATGAGACAGACAAACGGGGGAACAAATTGGGGTAGGGACACAGGCAAAGGGGGAGGAACGTGGGAGGAACCAGGGAAGGAAAGGGCAAATGGTAACTGTCTCCTCTCTGCAACTTCTTCAGCCTATCAGAGGGAATCAGGGAAGCAGGGAAGTGGGCATGCCCGGGCATGCCCGGGAAATACAAATATAGGGGCAACATACAGTGTGCATATTTAAAACCACATAATAGCTGTAAAGTCCATATAATAAAGTCCTGTCAATTGCTGTATGACTTTTTCCACTCCTGAAACCACTCCCATCCTGAATCTTGCTCCTTCACACAACACTGTGAAGGCTGCTTTGGGGAAATGAACTCCATCTCAGGTCCACATGGAGATCAAACTCACAACCCTGGTGTTATTAGCACCATGCTCTAACCAACTGAGCTACTCTCAGGGCTCTCTAAATGCATCCATTATGGATGGATTTTAGTATGCCCATTACACATGAGAGTAATGGGAGGGTCTCATGCGGACAATACAAAGACCATTAATGACAGCCAAGTAGACTTTTTTCCCCCTATCTCTCTCTTTTCTAAAATAATGAATTCTCTCACTAGACACTGAGAGGCAGGACTCCCTATCACTATCAGTATGTGAAAGGACAGTTGCTCAGACTGAGTTCCTGTTCTCAGATCTGTTGCTGTCATGTCGATGAATCTCATCTGGTCTTTTTCAGTTTCCGGGGACAAGTTGTAGTGTTAAGGAGTTAGGATACTAACTGTTTCTCCATACGATTTATGAAGTTTTTAAACAAGCTAGTTGCCTGAACTAGAAAGAATGGGCTAGTTTAGAAAGCACAATGACATCAAGAAGTCTAGCAAAAGAAACCCCCCCTCTACATTTGCTTTGAAGGTTGTATTAGTCAGATAGTCTGATCAAGAAAACAAATCTGATAATGCTTCATTTGCATTTGTACTGACACATAGAACCAGTCAACAATGGTTTCTCTGAACAGAAGGACAGAAAGGAAAAACAATGCTGGCATATGGGATACAATGCTGTTTACAAACTAAACAGAAGGGAAAAATCCTCGGGTGTCTGGATTGGCTTTGAGGGTTTGTTTGTGTTAACAGCTACTTGATGAGGAAGCATAAAATATGGGACTAACAAAGAAAGAAAGTTGTTGGTTTGCCAAAATAATATCTCAACAGATGTGTATCCTGGAATCCAATCTTAGCTTGGGCCACTGAGTCACTGCTGAAAAGTGTACACATAGCCAATACTCCTTCAGAAAAAGGTGAAGAAGGCAACTCACAGTTACACATTTAATAATGGGATTTAAAGCTTACAGGAAACTAAAGTGAATTTCAGGAGAAAAATGGTTTAAAAAAACATTGAGAAAATGTTTATTTTCTTGACTTACTAACAGAGAGAGTAAAAAAGGAAAACAGAGGTGACTGGGGGGCTACAGTTCAGTGCTAATGCTATAGCTCAGACACTGCACATACCTTTTTGTGGTGGGTTGACCTTGGCTGGATGCCAGGTGCCCACCCAACCACTCTATCGCTCCCTTTCCCAACCCGACAGGGGAGAGAGTAAGGTGGAAAAACAACTTGTGGGTTGAGATAAGGCAGTTTATTTAAAGCAAAAACTAAAGCCGAAGCTTGCGCGCACAAAAAGCGAAGCAAAGCAAAAGATAGCAGAAAGATTCTCTACTTCCCATGAGCAGTGATGGTCGGCCACTCCCGAGAAGCAGGACTTCAGCACGCGTGACGGTTTCTCAGCAGGCAACCATTGGAGACAATGAATGCCTGCCTTCCTGCTCCTTGCCTCAGCTTTTATATCTGAGCTGACGTCATATGGTCTGGAATATCCCTTTGGTCAGTTTGGGTCAACTGGTCTACTTGGGTCCCCTCCCAGGATCTTGCCCTCAACTGAGGAAGGAATGTTACAGTGCTGATGCTGTGCTCAGCAGTAGCCAAAACACCGGTGTGTTATCAACACCCTTCTAGCTACCAATGCAAAGCCCAGTGCAACGACCTAAAGATGCACTCAGACAGCAAGTTGGGAGGCAAGGATTTTATTATAAACAAACTCGTTCTTTTTATCTCTTTTTCCCTTTTCCACATACTCGTATTTCATCTTTAATTGGTTTCTTGCTTTTGTTCACGCACCCTATTTCGTCTCTTGATAGGTAGTTGGCATGTCTTCTCGTGTCCAAACACATTCTTCTATCTGCAGCTGTTTTTCTTCTTTTTCTCACGCCTTCCTTTGATGTTTACTCTTTTGCAAGGTTACAACTGTAGCTGATCAAGGTCAAAGCTACCCGCAACCCAACCATCTGCTACAATTCCCTCTTTTTGTTTTTCTGCTACAAAAGCAGAGTTTATCATCCTCTGCAGGGCCCTTTTCAGAAAAGATAACAAACACGGCAATAGCAGCATGATTATGATCAATACCACCAAACAATAAATGCCTAGCTTTATCACTTGTTTCACCCATATGCTAAGACTCCATTTATCCAACCACCCATCAATGCAAAAAATCCTTCATCCTGGGTTATCTTTTGTGTTGCTGCTTTTAAGTCTGCTATACTCTTATAGATGGACTCAGAATGATCAGATAAATTCATGCAACACATCCCCTCAAAGTCTTGACACCCATGTCCATGCTCTAAAAGCAAAAAATCAATAGCAGCTCTATTTTGAAGCATAGCATGGTGTACACTATCTACATCTGTTGTCAATTGATATAAAATTTCAGATGTTTTATTAGCTTGCTTGCCTAGCCAACATACCATTCTATTCAAAGTTACCAAAGCTTTGGTAACTGCCACTCCAGGGAGAAACAGTGAGGCAACTACAATTTCGCTATGACTCCACAATTGTATTTCATCTTTGCACTCAGATGTTACTGTTAAAGGTCGTTTATATTTCATATGCTTGTGGAGGTAAGTGTGGTTTAACAAAAGTTTCTGAGTTGGTGTCAGTAGTCCTAGGTGACCGATGGCACAAGGTCCTCCTCTCATTTTTCCAGGAATTCCCAACCAGGCTCTGTTCCTACATATGAGAAACAGACCACGGGGCAATCGTCTCGCAACGCCGACCCCTGGGGCAGGATCAGTCTTACTGTGCCCCAGGTATTGGCACCAAGCAGAATGATTTTGATAAAGGGGTATGCTAGGGGATACATCTTGTAGGACTGTTGTATCATTCTCTTGTATATCATGGTCAGAGTTATAGTTAAAGAAAACACAACTCTCGGCTGTTAAACTCCCTAAGATGTCTATTTCCTGAGGCGGTAAAGCAAGCAGAAGAGAATTATCCCACAAATCCCAATTGTCTGTACAATTCCACATAACTGCATAAGGTCTTCTCTAGGGGTCCAAGGTCAGCCACTACAAGGCTGACCTCACTGTTGTTTAATGGAATCCCCGCTAAACAGGTGTGAAAAGGCTACTCGGGTTGTGCAAGTGAGGCACAAAAGGTGGTTTGGTTTAAGACCTTCATCAGGGTGACCCAAACATTTTTACTGTTCCACGATGTCAGGTGCTGCAGGTCCAGGTTGCCTTTGGTCATAACCATGATCAATAGCAGGACACACACACCTAGCAGGAATCCACCGGGGGCCGGCATCTGTGGAAACACAAGCATACCCACACCCCTAAGTAATGAGTTCTCACGGGCAGTCCCACTCTTGCGTCTGGAGGTTACAGACCATCACTCTAGCCTTAGGTTGAAGTTCATCCCCTGCTCTCTGCAACGATAAAAAGTGTGTTAGAATCACAGGATTTTCTGCATTTGGAGGCACCATTAGGTGGTTCAACGTGTACACCGGTTTCCAGACTCGATTTTGTGGAGTTTCACTGTGCATTCCCCCTTTTTGTTTTTCAAGCATCCGTTTAAGTGTCAGATGTGTGTGTTCCACAATGTCTTGACCTTTAGGGCAATGCGGAATACCTGTAACATGAGAAATGCCCCATTGACCAAGGAAAGCAGAGGTTTTAGTTGCAGCGCAACCTGGACCATTATCAGTTTTGATGAGATGGGGAATACCCAAGGCTGCAAAGGCTTGATGGCAATGTGAGATAACATCCCTGTTCTTCTCTCCGGAATGGACAGAGGCCCATAATGCAGTTGAGTGGGTGTCGACAGACACATGCACATACTTGAGACGACCAAATTCAGGTACATGTGTGTTATGGGTTATAAATCTGAGAGAGGAATTTTCCCTTCCCCTGTTTTCCCTGTAAGAGAAAACAGAGTTTGAAGGGGGGAAGAGAGTTGATTAACCTTACAAAGGAACTGACTGATCTGTTTTAATGGGTGAGCGGTGAGTGGCCGGGGCGGGGGAGCGGGCCGGGGGGCTGGGCCGCTGGGGCTGGCTCGGGTCGGGGGCGAGGACGGAAGCTGCGTTGTTGGCTCCCTTGGTGCACTCAGGCATTTTTGGGGAGGGGGACCGGAGGTCTGGTTTTCTTTTTGGCTGTTCATCCTGGTCAGCTCTATTTCTCATCCTGCTGGCTTCAACCTGCCTGAATGCCCCGCTCCCCGGAGCTGCTGTACCTCAACGGAGAGTCTGCTTGCCCGCGGGAGAGGAGGGGGAGTTTTTGCTGAGACACCACCACCTGAGACTGCGGTGAGTCCCCGCCACTTGGGACAGCGGTGAGTTCCCGTGGGAGTGTACTGCCTGCCTTCCTTTTTACCCCCACGGGAGCGAGGACCCCCCCATCTCTTTCTCGGCTTCCCCACGCGGTCCGGGACGGCTCTCTCCAGCCCCTCTTCCCGCGGGGTGACTGCCGGAGCCCACAGTACCCCCTGCCGACCACGACCAGGTACTGCAGGTCCTGCACCTTCCAGTGATCCCACAGCGCCCCCTGCCGACCACGACCAGGTACTGCAGGTCCTGCACCTTCCAGCGATCCCACAGCACCCCCTGCAGGCCACAACAGGGCGCTGCAGACCCTGCACCTTCCAGCGATCCAACAATATCCCCGGCAGGCCACAATTAGGACTGTGCTAAGGGACAGAGGAGTATTCATTTAGACTTGTTGTTGTTATTGTTGTTTCTTGTTACTGTTTTTGCCAACATACATATATCTTTTAATAAAGAGTTGTTATTTCTTCTGGTTTTCCACATTTTCCTCTATTAAAGCCCCTTAATTTGACATTACAATTGCAGAGAGAGAGGAGTTTGGTCTACCTCATAACTCATCCTCTTTAGCAAACAGTCAAGTCTCACTCAGACTGCGACAATGTGTCACATCAGTCTGCCAAATCTGTAGACTTTGCAAACCACGGGGATTAACGCTTGCTGAAGGTAGAGGCATAAAATGCTGACAGTCACCACAGGATGCTATAATGTCCTTTGCCTCAGAACTTGTAAGGTTAAACTGATGCTGCAGAACACACGCACCCTGATGAAAAAAGGCATGAGAGGACAATGCCTGTTGCCATTTGTCTGGTACTGGTGCAGCCCACACAGGAGCTGCCAATGCATCAGCTCGCGCATTACCCTCATAAATGAATCCAGGCAGACCAGTGTAGCTACAGACATGTAAAACATAATAGGGCTCTGATCAACACCGTAATTCCTGCCAAAGCAGTTTTAACAGACCAAATAGTTGTTGATTATTTACTTCCTTCAATGTGACTCTATCCAAGCGCTGCAAGACACCTACTACATAGGCAGAGTCAGTTACAACATTCAGTGCATAACTCTACTAATTGAGGGTATCCATCCTCTCGGCCTACTAACTCTTGCAACTGACCCTGTTCTTTCCAGGTAACCACCGCTTTCCCTGTCCGTCCAGATCCATCAGTAAACACAGTGAGTCCCTTGACCGGTGTGGTGGACACTAGGGGCTTCTCCATTAAACATAGCTCCAAATGGAGTTGCAAAAACTTGTGAGAGGGCATATGAAACAGAACTTCTCCTGAAAAATGCAACAATGCTAATTGAAGATCAGTGCTCTTTGCCAAACACCATTCTAGGTAATCCTGATGCATGGGTAAAACAATATTTTGAGGATCCTGACCACTAAGTTGTAGACAATGTCGTCGTCCTTTACAAATTACTGTGGCAATGAGTTCAATAAGGGTGCTCACTGTTTTGCGGGGCTGATGGGGCAGGAAAATCCATTCCAAAAAATGCAAGGGGTCCTACCATTGGGCATTCCACTGTCCTAACAAACCAACAGGTTGAGAAACATTAATTACAACATATAAATTAAGAGGATGGTCCTCTACAAGATGGCACACCTGTTTTGTTTCTATTGCCTTTTCAACCAATCGAAGAGCAGCTCGTACCTCTTTAGTTAAACTCCTGGGGGAGAGCAGGTCACTGTCACCCTTTAGCAACTGAAACAAAGGGGTTAACTGAGTAGCAGTTAGATCAAGTAAAGACCGTACCCAGTTGATGGTTCCCAAAAGTTTCTGCACATCATTTAAAGTCTTAAATGAATCATCTGATCTAAAATTTTGACCCCCAAATATTTCCATGGTGCTTGTGTCTGCACCTTTTCTGGGGCTATCTGCAGCCTATATGTTTGCGACAACTGTTCCACCACTGTCATGACCTGGTGCAATTGCAACTGGATTGTTGCAGCAACAAGGATATCGTCCATATAGTGATAGCAGCATACTCTCGGAAATTGCCATCGAACTGTTGACAAGGTCTGAACTACATACTACTGGGGCAATATGGTCCACTGATATCGTTTACAAGGTTCCTGATTATTGATTGATGAGACAGAGAAAGCAAACTTCTCAACATCTTCAGGGTGCAAGGGAATGGTAAAAAAGCAATCCTTCAAATCAATGATATGTATATCCCAATCAATAGTGATCATAGTAGGGGGGGCATGCCAGGTTGTAGTGCCCTCATGCTTTTCATTACTTGATTTATTTGCCTCAGGTCATGAAGAAATTGCCACTTACCTGATTTTTTCTTAATGACAAATACAGGAGTATTCCATGGGCTAAGGGAGGGTTCTATATGACCCTGTTCCAATTGTTCTTTTACTAGTTCATGGAGGGCAAACAGTTTCTGCTGTGCTAGGGGTCACTGGTCTACCCAACAGGAGTTGTGGTCAGCCACTGCAGCTTAATGGTGGGTCGCTTAATGCCCTCACACACAGTGACCCCTAGGAAAAATCCTTCTGCTCAGTTCACATGAACACACCCCACATGCTCAACATGTCTCTACCCCACAGGTTCAATGGTACCATGACAACAAAGGGTTGTGTCATTGCTACTTGTCTGTCAGGATTTAGGATTTGCACAGGGAATTTACTCTGAAAACTTTGTGTAGCTCCATCTACTCCAACTATTGCAGCTCCTGCTGCCACTGTGGACCAGTCCTTAGACCACTATTTATGTGTGATAATGGTTACATCTGCCCCAGTGTCAATCATACCCTTGATCTGCAAACTCTTTGAGTTCCCATTGTGAGTGTGAGTACACAAGTCATAGTTGGTCTGTTGGAACTTATGACCTTCATCCAGTAAATCTGCCAAGCACCTGCAGTTGTCTGAGAACAAATACCATGTCTGTGGTACTCCTGTTGGCTCTGAAATCACATTGGCTTTCAGGTATAGCGGGTATTAGTCTGTTCAAAAGTATTCTTGCCAGGATTTTGCAGGCAATGAAGAGCAGAGTAATACCACGGTAATTTGAACAGTCTGATTTAACTCCTTTCTTCTTATACAAAGTGATGATGACTGCATCATGGAGGTCTGATGGTAGTTGGCCTAGTTCCCAACAGTACACCACAAACGCATGAAATTTAACATGGAGTGCATGGCCTCCATGCTTCCAGACTTCAGGTGGAATTCCATCAATCTCAGTTGCCTTGCCAATTTTCACCTGCTGTATGGCCTTAAGAGTTTCTCCCATAGTAGGGGCAACATCCAATTCATTCTTCACCGGTTGTTGTGTAATGTACTGAATTGCTGAGTCTTGCACTACACGGTTAGTACTGAAAAGAGTCTGAAAGTGTTCAGACCATCGATTCAGAATGGAGGTTTTATCTGTCAGAAGCGTTTGACCATCTGCGCTGAGTAGAGGGCTTTGGACCTTGTATGTAGGCCTGTATGCTGTTTTCAAGGCCTTATAGAATCCTCTGTAATCACCCGTATCTGCGCATAATTGAATTTTTCCTGCTAGACTGATCCACCACTTGTTCTGGATGTCACGGAGTTTCTGTTGGAGTTTGCTGCATGCAAGATGAAAGGCTGCTTTTCTTACATGACAAGATGGCCGAGCAAGGTGTGCTTGGTGAGTAGATCTCTTCTTCCTCAACAATTCCTGGATCTCTTGATTGTTTTCATCAAACCAGTCCTTGTTCTTCTTGAAGGATTCTTCAGAGGACTGCAGGATGCTATTTTTAATATGGTGCCAAAGTGTTTCAGGAGAGGTATCTATGGAATGATCCTCGAACCTAGTTTGAAGATTTGCCTGAAAGCTATCTCTCACTGTAGCTGTTTGAAGATTGTTAACTTGGAGTCTCCTCCTTGTAATACCGCCCCTTTTAGGTTTGAACTTGAGGTTGAAGTTAAGTTTACAGCGCACAAGTCGATGGTCTATTTGGCATTCTGCACTAGGCATCACATGGGTATGATGAACATCGTGGACATCTCTCTGTCGCACCAAGACATAATCAATGAGGTGCCAATGCTTGGATCTAGGATGCATCCAGGTTGTCTTCAGTCTATTTTTCTGCTGAAAGATAGTGTTGGTGATGGTGAGCTGCTGCTCCGCACAAAACTCTAGCAGAAGGCAACCATTATCATTGCAGTTTCCAACACCATGCTTACCTAATACTCCTTTCCAGGCTTCCAAGTTCTTACCTACTCTGGCTTTGAAATCACCAAGGATAATGATCTTACCATCTGTGGAAACCTTTTGGGTAAGGTGGCGCAGGTCGGTGTAAAATTTATCTTTTTCGACAGGGTCAACTTGGAGAGTTGGGGCATATTTACTAAAGAGGACAACATGTTACTTGTTGTGTAGTGGAAAACATAAGGAGATAATGCGATCAGAATGACCTGTCGGCAGATTTTCAAGTTTAGGGACAATAGAGTTTTTAATTATGAAGCCAGCTCCTGAAAGATGCCTTTCGGTTCTGAGTTTACCTGACCAAAAGAGTGTATAACTGGCACCATGTTCTCTAAGGCTTCCTTCCTCATGGAGACGAACTTCCCTGAGAGCAGCAATGTTGATGTTGAGACATGACAGTTTGTGGGCAATTAGGGCAGAACGAGGCTCAGGACGTCCACTATCCGCAGTATCAAGTGTGGTTCTGATGTTCCAGCATGCGAGTGTCAGTTTGGGTACACCTTTGAAGGCAGGTGTATGCCTTTGCCTTTTAATCTTTGTTTGACCGCATTAGATGTCTGTTAGCTGTGGTTAACCAACTGGGTGAAGGGTGGAGATGAGCTTTGGTTAGGTCACCTTTTCTAGGCCCCTCTCTGAGTGGAGCAAGCAGTGTTCTCCTTGAAAAAACCTACTTGGTCATTCAGAATGCTGCCGAACAAGACTGTCATCTCCAGGGTCAATCTCAGGCGACCAATGTCCTAAACCGCCTGCATGCAGGATTGGGTCTGCGGCTTCCAGTGCACCTTATCACCTGCCATTTTGTCCCTCGCCTGTCACTACAGGGCTTTACAAATGTGGGTATAACCTTCAGACCTGCAAAATGGATTTTTTAGGTGAGACGCAGCATGCGCAGAACTGGACCCACCATTTAATCCTAAGGTTCATCTGCCAGGGCCTAGTGAGCTTGGACGGTGGCAGCGAGGTCCTCAGGAGGTAGGTTTAATTAGAGTATCCTCTTAGATGGATGGCCTTACAGGGCTAAGTGAGCTCCATCTGCCCGGGTTTGGAATTAGAGTTGTCCTTCTCCTAGGATGACTGCCAGAAGGCTAGCGAGTTCATCCTGCCCATGGACAGATTTTACTACAGGACTTCTCTCGCACTGCCCACCCGTGACCATCCAAGTAGTACTGCCCTGTCCGCCCTCCCGCCCATCCAGGGACCCCACAACCCACCGGACCCTCTCCCACTCCCCCAAATTGGACTGGTAAACCTCTGTGCGCTCTGAAGTTCCTCCTCTCCTCTCCTCTGGGGCTGCAGCCCCCGTGGTCTCCGGGAGAAACACCCTCGGTGTGGTGGGGTTGGTCGGGGGAAAGCCCCCTCGGCAGGGCCGGGACCAACCAGGAGGGAAAGCTTTTCAATCGTAGATTTAAATAATTGGAAACAAACTGCAGGAAGTTACTGAGATGACCCTGATAAGGTTGCTAATGCATTTGAAATTATGATTAGAACTCAAGATCCAGACTGGAATGATATTGAGGCAATCATGAAAGTAATGTTTGATAGTACCGAAAGAGAAATGATTAAGAAAACTACTCGAACCCAGGTTGAAGTACAAGTGGCAGCTGGGACTTTAGAGGGGACAGTAGAACAACATTTCCCCTCAGTGAACCTGAACTGGGACCCTAACCAAAATGGACCAGGGCAGTTTCTTAGACATTCCAAAAACAATAAATTGGTTGAAACTATATGTAATAAAACAAAATTTGAGGGAATCACCCACTGATTTCTTAAATAAAATTAAAAAGGCTACCCAACAATACACAACTATTGACCTTGATGGAAAAAAACAATTGCCTCTTGTTTATAGAGCAATCATCTGATGATATATGACTAAAATTGCAGAAGCTACCAGCAGAGGACATGAGATTTGGGGAAACTGTTAAATATAGTTTGGGTAACTTATAGAAATAGAAGCGGGGTGGAGAAGATAGCAATGATAGAAGAAGAAAAAGAAAGATCAAGATCACCACAATGGGGAGGGTTCCGAGGATGGGGACAGGGAAGAGGTGTTGGTCAAAGGAATTTTCCAACAAGGATAGGAGCTAATCAGTGTGCCTATTGCAAGGGAGAGGGGCGTTGGAAGAAGGAATGTCCCCAACTGAGGCAGAATTCCCTGCCAAATCCCCTGATGTCTATTGAAGACATATAAGGGGATGGGAGGGATCCTTCCTCGCAGAACCTCTGGTTGTAGCTAAGATGGGGAAGGAAGAAACAGAATTTTTTTCGTAGACACAGGTGCAACTTACTCAGTTCTTAACACAGTATAAGGAGAATTAAGTGATGACACTGTAAATGTTATTGGTGCAATGAAGGTTTGTGAAACGTGATCCTTTTTCCAACCTATAAAATTTAAATTGGGAAAGCAATGGGTAACACCAGTTTCTCTATTTGCCAAACTCCCCTAAACCTTTATTAGGAAGAGATTTATTGGAAAAACTTGAGGCAGGAATTAAATTTAAAAATGGGGATATTCAAATTGTAATTCCTGAGACTAAATATGTCAAAGCAGCAACTTTTCTTGTGCAGGAAATATCTCCAGTTAGTGACAACATCCTGACTGAAGTTGAAGATGCACTTGTTCCTATTGTGTGGGTCAGTGGAATTCCAGGAAAATCGAAAAGAGCAGAACCTGTAAGAATAACCCTTAAACCAGGAGCTATACTGGCAAGGCAGAAACAATATCCTTTAAAATTAAAAAGCCAAGTTGGATTGGTTCCAATAATAGACAAATTTGTTAAGCGTGGTTTGCTTGAGGAATGTGAATTCAAGTAAAACACACCCATTTTACCAGTAAAGAGAGTAAATGGAAAAGATTATCGATTACTACAGAACCTGAGGGCAATCAATGGAATAGTGGAGGATATGGACCCAGTTGTAGCTAACCCATATACTTTATTAACCACCTTAAATGATAACCTGGAATGGTTTACAGTATTAGACTTTAAAGATGCCTTTTTCTGCATCCCCCTGAGCAAGGAAAGTCAAGAAGTCTTTGCTTTTGAATGGGAAAATCCAAAACCAGAGAAAAGCCCAATTTACCTGGACAGTGTTGCCTCAGGGATTTAAAAATAGCCCTATCATTTTGGCAAAAGAATTAGAAGATTAGAGAAGACAGAACCAGGAAGGAGTTATGTTGCGGTATGATATACTGAAAATAGAGAACAATGCATTTCACTCACTGTCAGTTTTTTAAATTTCTTAGGGTGAAGTGCTTGTTCTTGCACGAACCCCACTACTCACACCAAGGAGTGCGAGAGCAGAATTAACTTTATTACAAAGGGCATCAGTTTAAATACAGTGTTTAAATTGTGTCACATGATCTTTCAACCAATGACATTATAGTATTTCCTTGAGCATGCGTGAGAGCCCGGAAAACTACAAGTCCCAAAATCCTTTGCTAGATTCTTCCTGAAACATGAACCATTACATTAGGGCTTAGTGGGTACTGAGTATCAAAAGAAAAAGCCCAAATTGCAAAAGAGACAGTAATCTATCTTGGTTTTGAAATCCTTAAAGGACAACGACAACTTGGGAAGGAAAGAAGTCATCTGTCACTTCCCTGAGCCATGAACAATTAATGAATTGCACACCTTCCTAGGAATGGTAGGATGGTGTCGACTCTGGATTGCTGACTATGGACTTTTGGTAAGACCATTATATGAGCTTTTAAAAGCAACCTATAAGAACATCCTTACTTGGAGAGACAGTGCAAAGACAGCCTTTAAAAGACTAAAGCATTCCATGATGAGAGTACCAACCCTAGGTCTGCCAGATCTCTCAAAGCCATTTGAACTGTTTACCTATGTGAGGCAGAATGTTGCCCTAGGAGTGCTTGCACAATTTCTTGGGGACCAGCGAAGAACCGTAGCTTATTTCTCTAAACAACTTGACAATGTCAGGCAAGGATGGTCTTTAATATGTATGACCCAGAGGCCCTGCGGTCTGTGTGTGTTTTTTGCCACCTAGCTGTGAGTTCATGTAGCTGTGTAGCGTCCCCAAAATAAACTTCGTTTGTTGCTTGAAAGTCCATGGTTTAACCTTCTGATTACCTGGGTGAACATTGGAGCTTGCAATTGTTTACAGACAATTGAAGAAGCCTACTCCAGCCCACCAGACTTAAAGGATGTTCCTCTGGAAAACCCTGACTGGGAATTGTATACTGATGGAAGTAGCTAACAACTGACAGGGTATGCAGTAACCACCACAGATAAGGTAATCAAATCTCAAGTCTTATCTCTGCTCAAAAAACAGAATTAATTGCTCTTATAAGGGCCCTGGACTTAAGCCAAGGAAAAAGAGCAAACATTTGGACTGACTCTAAGTATGCATTTAGCATTGTGGGTGCTCATGGAGTCATTTGGAAAGAAAGAGGACTACTAACAACCCAAGGGATGGAAATCAAACATGCCACAAAAATTAAAGAACTCTTACAAAATATACAGAAGTCAGTAGAAGTTACTATAATGCATTGCAGAGTACACCAAAAAGGAAAACCTTCCCTGAAATCAGAAACCGTTTTGCTGATAAATCTGCAAAAGAAGCAGTAGAAAAAGGCATTCTGGCATTAATCCCAGAAAAGGAAGTAGTATTACCTAAAATTACCCCAAAGTACGATAAAAAGGACTTTCAGTTAATTGAATCCCTCAAAGTTAACTTTCAAGCTACAGGATGGGTTGTTACCCCTACAGGGCAGGTGATAGTCCCACCTACAATTATGGGAGAAATAGTTAAAAGAGAACATGATACCACCCACTGGGGTACAGAAAATTTATTAATGCATCTTAGAAAAACAGTGTAAAAATGACTAAAATTATACAATCTGTCATAGGAAGATGTGAAACTTGTAATAGAAGTAACCCTAACACTAGCAATAAAATAACTGTAGTAGTCACAAAAGCTGGAAATCTTCCTGAAGACTATTGGCAAATGGACTTTACTGAGTTACCTCGGAAAGAAGAATATCAATACATACTAGTGCTAGTAGATACTTTTAGTGGATGGTCAGAAGCCTGTCCTTGTGACACCTAAAAAGCAAGGGAAGTAGTGAAAGTTCTCTTAAACCACATTATTCCTAGGTTTGGAATTCCTCTAGGAAAGTCATCAGATACGGATCACATTGTATTGTAGCAGTGGTACACGAAGTCAGTAAGTCGCTAGGAATGGTTTGGGATGTCCATCATGGCTGGGTTTCGCGAACAAAGATTTGGGAAGGCTTTATCCACATTTGTTACAGGTACGTTGGTGACTTATGAGGTCAATACGTGACAGACATATCCGATTGCAAAAGGCACAACAGAAAGACTCCTTAGGTGGTGTATTCCGCAAGACACGGTTCTTCCTGCGTTGCCTTTTCTCCTCGAGAGTGATCCTGCGTGTGTTCTCAAAGGCATCCACAGCATTATAGATGGTGTCTCCAGGCCTCCCGATTTGAGGCCAGAGTAGACCAGTTATGGTGATCAATATGACCAAGGTTGAGATGTTGTTTCAGGGAGTCCTTGAATCTTTTCTTCAGGGCTCCTCTCTTGCAGCAGCCAGTGGTAAGTTCACCATAAAGCAAGGTCTTAGGGAGGCGGTGGTCCTTCATCCTGGAGATGTGCCCTGCCCATCTCAG